GGAGAAGGAGCCAGTCCCAATGAAGAAGGGGTCACTGCTGAAGGGAGTGAGACAGTAAAGGAAGATGAAACTAAAGAAGAGAAAGTCAAATCAAAACCCAAGAAAGACCAAGGTCCAGTCTGGACTACCTATGAGATAAGAATGGGTCCATCCCATAATAAATACTGTCAATGTCACAGGCGCTTGCTGAGGCCACCACCATCACTCTTCAGTCTAAACTTATTTTAGACTAAAAGGACACTAAAACTTATTTCGAACTCGTATCATTATCATGTACATTTATTGTTGTTAACAGTTTCTTAATAGCTATACTTGTAATTATTGTTGTTGTTGTGTTTAAACTTAAGTTACTTTTATGTAATATTTTACATTTTACACCTTGTCAACTTCAAAGTAGTCCTACACATACCGTATATTACCGAATAAATGCCGGGGTAGCAATAGAATTCAACTATAAATACACAAACCTAGTCTTGAAGTGCTTCAGTAGTCTTGTGGGTACTGCCTGAGGGTCAAGTCAAGTACATTAGGTCACAGGTTCCAATCCCGCTCTGGGCCCAAATTTTTATTCTTAAAATTTTTTTCGAGGTCCAAATACAATTTTAGAACATAGACGCCCGGGCTTTTATTTAAGGAAATACGGTACATATATCTTGCCATGAACCCATAGGCCCACAGTATCATAAATATGTATATATTACAAGGTAGGTTTGTTATTTTAAAAATGGCTATAACTTGGAAAATTGAAGTTGGAATCAGCTCAAACTTGCTACATAGCATAAGTACATCAATATGCATCAGAAAATGTAATAAAAATTGGGGGTGATTTCAGAGCCATTTTTTGGAAAAAACTGTGGGCTATAGTACAGGGTATTTTTCCGAAATTTGGAGTTTTTAAAAAATGGTCATAACTCAAAAAATTGAAGTCAGAATCAGTTCAAACTTGCTACGTAGCATAAGTACATCAATATGTATTAAAAATGTAATAAAAATTGGGGGTGATTTCGGAGCCATTTTTTGGAAAAAAACATGGGCTATAGCTTTGGGTACTTTTCAGAAATTTGGAATTTTTGAAAATGGTCATAAATGGTGATTTCGGAGCCAATAGCATAAATAGTACATGTACTGTGTATTTAAATACTAATTACTGAGGGATTCTCTACCTACACCATACTACATGTACTTGTTACTGTACAATATATGTACATGTACATGTACCAAAAGTCAGTGCATGACTTACAGTGTATTCCTCATCAGTGTATGTTGGAATGGGAAGTTTCTTGTTGAACTGAACAAAAGGATAATCCTTTCCTTCTTCGGTAGTCCGACGCCAATGATACAACACCAGCTCATCCTAAATTAACAATTAACACTTCATAGCTTATATCTAGAATAATAATTTTGTCATTAAACTATTTTAGTAAAATAGCAAAAGGTTTCTCAAATAAAAAAATAGTAAAGATATAATTATTTGTCATACTACAAAGTGCATCACATTGCAAGTTTGAATGCCCTACAAACAGCATAATAGTTGGTTTATTTCGTGTGGCATTTATTATTATGCAAGGCTCAAAACTACTAAATTAATTTCACCATAAAACATTAAAATACATGTAATTTATCAAAACTCTGTAAAAACTACAAAAATACATACTGTATGTGTAAATTCTAACTAATTTTAACTAATTCTAACTAATATATTTTAAATGAAAATTTGAGGTCACAAATTAAACTAGCTATACTGTACTTGTACAATAACACATTAAATGATTTACTTCTCTTGCTGAGTTTGTGAATGGCATCCATTTCCAAGGTCTAACGTGCTTCCTTCCCAGTCTTGCCTTTGGGTGCCTGTACCCTGATCCACTGTCAGTTGGTATCAGTGACGTACTAAGATAAAAAAAATTAAATTAATGTCACGAGCATAAAGATTCTTTCTTAAATTAAAGATATGTTACCATAATAGAGATACATGTACATGTACATAATATTTCACCATTAATTCCACTTGCTATCATTAGGTTTAATATGAGTCTTGCAACTAAAGCAAAGTTTAAAAATGTCCTAATAGCTTCAAACTCACTCAAAAGTGCTGATTACATGTAATAAATGGTGGTACACAAAAAATATTAATAATTACATGCATAGTATGTACATGTACATGTAGTGCTAACAAACTCCACTATACCTATGATCAGAGTACAGTAAAGCATACACTTCCCTGTTCATGCCAGATGGACGGCGTAGCCCCACATCAGTAGACTTCTTCGTTTTCTTATGAGTGGTAAGAGATTTTATACGTAGACATTTCTAATTAAAGTGCACCTTATTTTGTACCTTCACTGATCCTATTATGGCTTCTTTGGTGAGTTGAGGTGTCTTTGGTGGCTCTTTTACATCTATATCTAATATTTCCTTGATGTCCTGATCCGCCATGGCCTCAAAAGACTTGAAAAGAGCTTGCTTAGCCTCACTACAGTTTCGCGCCTTCTCTTGTATCAGCACCCGGGAGGCTCTACTGCGCATGTGCAGTAAGAGTTCAAGATGGCGTACAATGATGAGAGGCTCATGGAACTGGACGAAAAATTATCTTTGATGCTGAGGACGAGTCATAAAAGCCGTCCGGAGAGAGACTTGATTAATCCAGTATGGAGCTTTTATACACGTACTGATACTGACTGTGAAGAAAATAATCCAGACACTGAGTCTGAAGCTGAGCTTCACATTGAAGCCTCCTCTCTTGACTCTCCTGCATCCTCTCCTCTTCATTCTCCCTCTTCTTCTTATCATTCTCCAATGGGTTCTCCAATGGAACCTCCTCAGGGTGCACCCTCTCCTCTGGGCAGCCTCTCTCCTCAGGGTGGTACTTCTCCTCGGGGCGGTTCCTCTCCTAAGGGTAGCCCTTCACCTCAGGGCGGACCCTCAGCTCAGGGCGGACCCTCAGCTCAGGACGGACCCTCTCCTCAGGGTAGCCCTTCATCTCAAGGTAGTGCCTCTCCTCAAGGCCTTCAATCTCCGCAGTGTAGCCTGCCCACTTCTCCTCACTCTGGGCCTCCTTCAGCCACAGCCTCACGAATCAGTTCCTCTCCTACTGAACCTATGGAGAATGAACGTGAGGAAACCAAAGAGCAAGCTGTTTCTTCTTCTCCAATAAAGCAACGACAGCAAGAGCGAAAGCATCCCAAATTAAGGAAGCCTGCAGAGTCTGGCGTGACGGAGGTCTGGTCTACATCCGATGAAGATATTTCATCAGAGGACAATGAGGGGCTCACTCCAAAGTCACGTCTACCTGAAGGACCCTCTTATAAGAGAAGACACCACAGATCACTTATTAATGAAACAGTCTCTCCTAAACAGCTTCATTTGCAAAATCGACGTTCATTGTTTTCTCGCACTGACATTAAGAACCTTGTTGCTGGCATAAATAGGAACTACACTTTTAGAGGTAGTAAGAGAGACTGGTCTATGATAAGACGCAAACATGACTTAATGCACATAAGCTGTATGTCTTTGAAGGACAAGTGGAGGAACCTTACTAAATATGATCACGTAAAGCAGACAAGTGATGGTCAGTGGATCTTACAGATGGATTAACTCATTATGTACATAACACTTGCAATTTAATATTGAAGTAATCATCATGCAATACATTAATTTCTTATCACTAATAATAATTAATAATAATAATAATTAATAATAATAATAAATTTATTATTATTATTATTATTATTATTATTAATTATCACTTCTGAACTGCGCATGCGCAAAGTCACGTGGCAGAACGTTGTCTCCGGTCTCTGCTGCTGTGTGACATGATGACTGCTGCAATAGTACTCTTATGTGTTCTTCCTCTCGCTGCGTCTTTATCAAGCACTGATAAATGCAGTGGGACTTATTATCGGCGTAAGGAGACAGACGTTTTTAAAAGTATAAAACTCCACTTCCCTCTCTTCTCTGTAGCTGCTGGTGACTTTGAACATGTGTCCTATCTTAAATTTTACTATGACAGTGTTCAAGGCTCCTGTAAATTTTTTGTCTATAAAGAATGTCATTCAAATGTGACCAATGGTTATGGTAATCCTCATAACAAATTTGATAGGCTCAGAGATTGTCAAGACACATGTTTTCGTAAGATTTTATGATAACTATCATGTTATTTAAAATTGCAAATGATTAGATTGTCATTTTTGTTATATTCACTAAGCAGCACTTATCATGGATTAATGTCTTACAGTATAGCCTCTTTTAATGGACACTATTTATAGCATACACCTCCATTTATCAGACCGTCATCACCTCACCTAGTGTACCAATGACATTTCCTACTGCATAAAGTAACCTCCACATAGCAGAGCAACTTTCTTGTACCCAAGTGTCTATTATATAGAGACTACACTGTAATACTGTACATGTATATGTAGAGGCTACACTAGTCTGCTATTTTTTATTTTTGCAGCTGTCAGAGATAATCTCTCCACCAGCTGCTCCATAACCACCTCAAAAACCTCATCACTTCATACTGCTACTGAGCCTGTGTCACTGAGCACTTCTTCTCCTTTAATGATGAGTCCATCTCCGGTAATGATAATCTCATCATCATCAAATGTGTCTGGATTGTCTCCCATTGGTTTTATGCCCACTTCAACATTAATGCTTAATCCAACTCAGTCTCTTACAGTTTCTGTTGGAAGAGCATCAACTGATGATGGAGGACTCTCTTTTGTTGGATCATCAACTGATATTGGGCCCCAATTGTATGTCCCTCTATCCCTCATAATATTTATTAACCTTATTCTCTCTACCATCTCTTTCTCCTTCGTCCTCTCTCATTCTCTCTTCATCAATTCTATTTCTCTCCTCACTATCTTCCAGTTCAATCTCTCCTTCTTCCACTTTCTCTGCCTCCTCTCCTTCTCTCTCAAACTCTCTCTCTTTCCTCCATACTTCCTCTTACTCTTCTGCTCTTCATTCCTCTACACCTTCTCTCATTTCTTCAACTTCAAGTCCATCATCCTATGAGCTTTTCCTCGTCATATCTGGTATAATTCTCTTTGTAATGGTCACCTTTATCATCTCACAATACTTATACTTTGCTGTCTATTTCTGTTTGGCTGCAAGAAGGAAGAGATATAGCAATACTTCACTTCAATTTGTAAGCCTTAAATTGTTGCAATACTAATTATTATCATTATTGTTGCTGTTCTTATTATTATTATTTTTATTTTTATTTATTATGCTATTCTAAATTATTGTTGTTATTATTATTATTTTGTAGAGAATGTCCCCTATCAGTGCTGTGGAGACTGGAAGGCAGCCTGTAAATATTTAGCTAGCTGTACACTTCTTTAATCGGACGGTTCTCTATATTTCATTGCACACTACTAGTAGCTGACAGAAACATTTATGCTCCCATTTTTGTGATTGTTTCTCATTATGATTTGATTTCATTTAGCCTTTTTTCACAAGATAATAAATTTAGACAAAATGCATTGCTGACCAATGAATATTGTTGCTATGCATGTAAGCAAGCAATTACCTGTAAGCAAGCAATTACCTGTTATGTGGCTGTGATTGTGAGGTGTGGCTTCTGATTTTGTAACAGTTTGTAATAATGAAAAATGCTCAGTCTGAGCTTAGCTATAAAGTGGAGCTTCCATAGTTAGTTAGCTACACTTCTTAGTTGGATTTGTCATGGAGAAGGAAGCAATCGTTGATTATCCCGAGTCTTATGGCTCCGTCAGTGCTGCTAGGCCCACTGGAGCAGATGGAGAGAAGCAGGCCGCAGTGTCCTTATCTTTTCATGATGTTAGCTATGCCGTTACCAGTGGGGTCTTTAAAAAGACCACCAAAGTCATACTTAACAATTTAACGTGAGGCTTTGCATGCTTGGAGCTTGTAGCCTTGTACATGACATTATGCTAATTATAATCCGAGACTTTTCTTAAGTTTTCCCGCCTCTATTTTACACCAAACTAAAACTAATGACTGCCTTTATTGTTTCTTTATTACTCTCTCTTTCTCTCTCTCTTTTTTGTTCCTCCATTTTAATCTCTCTCTTTATTATGGCCGGACCAGTGGTGTTATGAGGCCAGGCCTTAATGCTATAATGGGACCAACTGGTAGTGGAAAAACAAGGTACGTACATGTATTTATAACAATAATACTTTGTTATTGTTTATATGCTTTAATTAATGTTGGTACAAAAAGATTTTAAAAATTCAAAATAGCTATTATTATAATATTTTTTTTGTTCATTTGTGCAAATACATTATATCAAGAGTACATGATGGGTTGTACTCTTGATGATATGGTAGTATTCTTAACATGTAGCACTACAGCACCAATTTTCTGTACATGCACATTTTATGTACATGTATTAGCTAGAAGCAATAACATTGTACATGTACATGTAATTGCTCAAAGTGAGTTAATTGCAACTACTGAATTCTGGATAGTTGTATGAGTCACACTCACATGTAAGTATCACACTCCACTCGTGTGTGACATTATGATTGACAGCTGAGACTACCTTATATGGTGTTGGGGTCAAACTAACATGTGTACATCATATCCTATGAATTCATTTTGGGTTGATAGTAATCATAATAATTACTATCACAATGAATATTAGTATATAGCTATTTTGATGTTTTGTAGCTTGTTTCGAAGCTTATAGAAAGTTTGACCTGATTCCAACATGTTAAACACATGCGAATTCACATGCTTTCACCATGTTGGAATCACCTAATCAGGCCAATCTTTCTGTAAGCAGCCAATGTCTTGAAAATGGTCATAACTCCTATAACATGGTACATGGTACTTTGTTCAAGTTACTTAATACCCTAAATAACTTAACTTTTCTCTCTCTCCCTTTCTTCCTTCCTCCCCCCTCTCTCTACAGTCTATTAGATGTACTAGCTGACAGGAAGTCAAAAGGTGGTCTAACTGGTATTGTGTTAGTTAATGGACGGCCACAACCAAAATACTTCAAGTGTATGAGTGGTTATGTTGTACAGGTACACCATAGTCACATGACCATCACATGATACTGTATATACATGTACGCTGTAGTTTCATTGAAATTGTTTAATTAAATAAGAATTGGGCCAAAGTTTCTCAGGGTGTTTGAACAAATTTTGCCAAAATTAAAAAAAAGAGAATTCACTTTTTCCTAATGCATACGTAAGTAATTCTCATGTCGTGTAGAAAGTTTGAGCTGATTCCGGTCAAAATTGGATTTTTTACAAATTTTAAAAGTTACTCGAAAATCAGGCCAATGTACATGTAACATGTACAACAGTATAGCAAGGCTGCAAAAGTTGTGGCAGCCATTTCGAAGTGGGGTGAATTGTCCTTAAATTAATTATTTACATGTATCATTGTATATTATATTATATATACAGTATATATATATATATACATTCTTATTATAGGATGATGTCATCATGGGTACTCTCTCTGTCCGTGAGAACTTGTACTTCTCAGCTGCTCTGAGACTACCCAATAGTATGAAGTGGGCGGAGAAGAAGAGACGAGTAGAGAAAGTTATCGGAGAGCTAGGACTAACTGGATGTGCTGATACTAAAGTAATGAAAAGAGAAAGAAGAGATAGAGAGAGGAAGAGGCTTAAGATTTCTAAATAATAAAGCATTTTACCACAAAATTTGCTATAAAAGTCACAAATTGCAATGGCAATGCTACCTTTAGATGCTACTATAAAGTTTTAAATCAAGTTGAAGTACAAAATTATTGGTTACATTGTTTTTAAATTTTGCATTATAAAAATCAATTTCATGTTTACAGTAGCTATAAGTATAAACAAGAGTGGATAATTATTTAGGGAGAG